CCCCAAAACCCCAAAACCCCAAAACCCCGAGTTCTAAGATTTGCAGAATCTCAGATAAAACAAGTTAGGTTATGATAACATGAATATTAATAAACTTGATAGACTACCACCTACTTTTTAACATGGAAGAGTTATTTGTAAATAATTGAGTTCAGACGGCGTGCTTGACGAATTGACTCATTTATTAAGAGCATCATCCATCATCATCATCTTCTTTCTGCTTTGAACACTTGTTGATACTATCTTCTTGGTTGTAGATAGAGCACCCTTATCTAATAGATTTATACCAGTTTGTTGAGCTTCCTCATGCTTTCTTATAATGTCTTCTTTACGAACTGGACGAGGCTGTTTATTTTCTAGATGCTTCTCACCCCAATTCTAGATTAATTGTTCTTGCTCATCTTCAACTGCTTTACGTAGAGCTGTCCAGTTTGGCTCACATTCTGATAAAAGTTTCTTAAGCGGAGCCTACTTTTATAAATATAAGACGAGCTAGCCAATAAATGAATAAATATCTTTCCTTTGCGTTTATGGTCTAATATTATCAGAGAAAATAAATATTTACAATGTAAATTCAGTCAAAGAAAGCCTCTTTGCAAATCTAAAAAGCATTTGGGTCTCTTTAAAAAGTTTCACTTTTAGATCGAAGCATGACTGCTATGAACTTATAGCAATTACTATTTTATTCAATACAATTAAGATGTTTGAATTAGAATCATATCTTTCGAAATCATCCTAAGTAGTATTAAGAAGTTCATATTTTTACCATAATAATGTCAGTGAATCTCTTTTCAAAGAAGCCTCTGTTCATGACTTCGCTATCAAGTTAAATAAGCACTTCAAGAAGTTCGTATAATTTTATTCTAGTCAAAGTCTTAAGACCCTATTATTTCAACAAATTTTCAAATCTGGTAAAAAAGCTCATTATTTATTATACCAGTAAGAGATTGAGATCAGTAGATTTATCATAAATTTTCTATGCACCTTAAAGAAGAGCCTGCTTCATTAATTCTTCCTGCTTCATTGTCTCGAATTCACCAGTTGCTTATTCTTTTTTCTCGATTTGCTTTTCATCTTTATTTTGCTGTTGTTCAATCTGTTCCTCAACCTAATTAGCTACCTCCCCTGAGTCTTATTTTTTACTGAACTCCTCAGTAGTCAATCCAGCTATCTATGTTATTTAGAACCCAAAATTTATTTCCATGACATCCTAAACTGCTTCATTAGGGGAAGCTATGAACATGTTGAAAAACAGCAATTTTAGAAATTCAGAACCTTATTTGCTTCCATAACCTCCTGAAAAGCTAAAATCTAGTATTGGCTAGAGGACAAATGGAGACATTAATGAATCAAAGAACTCTCTGGGTTTATACATTTGATAACATTTCCTAACGATACCAGTAAGAATTTCAAACAAAAGCTCTGTGATGAAATCATCTTTGTGATATTGCTCAAGTGAGTTGACGCAATGCTAAATGATTTCAGATCTAATTTGCCTGTATTCATCTGGATTAATGCTTTATATATTTTTAACGGTGCACAATCTGACAAGAATGTCTGTCACACACTGAGTCAGATAAAGATGGCTGAATAGACTCTCTATTATAGAGATATTTTTGATAATGTACCTTAGAATTAATTCTGAGTCCCTTATTAGCCAAAAGGACACAATTTTATTCAAGTAACCTCCTAGAGTTGGATTTAATCTTCGACCATTATTAGATGGAGTTCTAATGAAGGAAAAAAGCTTGTCCAAAATCTCTGTATTCTCAGTGTTAAATATCAGCCTTTTTATATGATCATTATCGCATATAAAAGCTTCAGTAACTACAAATGGTAATTTAAAGCATCTTGCTGGAGAGTCTGAGAATCCAGGTTCAATAATTATAAAGTCAACCATTTGTACTACTTTATCTAGAGTTAAGCTATAGATATAGAATTAAGATCAAGGTGGGAGATAAAGGTTGAATTAACTTACTATTTGAGAAGTTCTTCATTTCTCTGACGAAGTTCAGGGAGAAATTCATCATCTTCCAGGATTTTTTCTAATTTCGGCCCACTTGACTTCTTTTATGATTTCTATCCTAGGATGCTAGTATTCTAGTTACCCTCTTGATTATCTATTTAATTTTATTCTAGCTGTCCGTTTGCTTCTTAAGAGATTTCATCCATGTAATCATCTTCATCACTTAAGTCTTAATAATCTGGCTGATCTTATTAATGTAGAATCCTATTCAATGTGCCAGTACTGGTAAATGTATCAGAAAGTCCTTCCCTATTAATATTGTTAAGGAGATTAGATTAAGTACAAAATCTGTGATATAGTTGTCATTTTAAGTTAAAATAGTATTATTATAATTCGATACACTTTTTTATTTCATCGACTTATTTTAAGCCATCTCAATTTGCAGCCCGGGGAAAAACTTTAAAACATTCAAAGACTTCTTTT